AGAGGTGGAGGAGGAGGAGGAGGAGGAGGAGGAGGAGGAGGAGGAGGACGAGGAGGAGGAGGAGGGTGGGGGAGGAGGAGGAGGAGGAGGAGGATGCGGGAGGTCTTGAGTATGGTCCGTTCTTCGGGGGCCTCGGAGGCGCTTTTCGGTCCATGGCCGGAGTCCCTCGGCATCCTTGCCAGAGCGCGCCCCTGAAGAGGTCTTTTCCTGGCTCTCTGCCGGATGTGAGAAAAACGCTGCACATCCTGCGTATTGTGAAGATTGTGCAGAGCACGACGGTAGCATAGCGAGCGCACCGTTGCACTTTGGCCCAAACCTTTTTTCAGGGCCCTTGAGTCAGCGCAGCAGCGGTGTGGAAAACATCTCAGATGTTCTTCTGGCCTTTTATTATCATTGCCATCCCATGCTCCGGGGGCTTTGATACGTTCATATTGGTAGCGGGGCCTGTTAAGCCAGGTTCCCGCTTCGCCGTTCCATATCTCGGAGACCTGGTCGCAAACTCCATAAGCAGGTTCGAGGTCCCAGCACATCAGAGCGAGCTCGCAGCAGATCTCAGAGGATACTATCAAGTCAGTTTCCCGGCAGCCTACACACACGACCTCACAGTCGGGTTCACAGACAAGGGCAGGATGTCTAAATCAATGGCGGACATGCCGCCGGAGCGAGGAGCTCCACAGTTCGACGGCACGCTCAGCAAATGGAGACATACGAGAAGAGGGCGATGATTTGCAGTGCGAAGTTCACATTGGAGAAGAAGGAGGTCGAGGCAGTTCTCATGCTCAGCGCAGGTCTCACAGGCGAAGCTTGGGACGAAGTGGAGGGTGTGTCAGCAGAAGAGCCCATCGAGCCCAACGCGGCGAAGCAGCTCATGGCCAGATTACGGAATCTTTTCAAGATGGACGACAGGACGGAGGTCGCGGACGATTTTTGAGGAGTAATTCTTCAAACTCAAGCGGCACATGGGCGAGACACTGTTCGCCTACATCTCAAGAGTGCGCGCTGCAGAGCGCAAGCTCAGGGCGCGCGACATCGAGCTACTGGCGCAGGTCCGAGACTGGCTCGCGCTACGACGAGGAGGATGCAGCGCGGATCAGAAGGCGGCCAGCATGTCGGTAGTTGGCAAGGATATCACACAGGATAAGGTTATTGAGGCGTTGGAGACAACGTTCGGGCAGGAGAGCATCATGCACGAGCCGAATCGCGCACGGAAGCAGTGTTTCGTCGACGAAGACACAGCAGAGTACTAAGACGTGGAGTTCTACGCTGGCGAGCCAGAGTACGAGCCAGACGACTGCGACCAGACGTATTGGGCGGAGGATGACGAGACCTGGTACGACTGTGACGAGAGCTATTACCAGCGCGACCCCGACGCAGCGCAAGAGCTCGACCCAGGCGAGCGCGACGAAGTCTACGCGGCCTACGCGGACGCCAGGAAGCAGTTCAACTCTCTGAAGCCTGTTCGCGGTTTCAACCCAGTAGTGGCGATGGTAGGCGGAAGATCAGGGTTGGCCGCGGCATCAGCAGGAGGTTCGCGCGGACGAGGCCAGTCGAGCAGCGCGGGCACCAAGGGGCGCGGCAAGCCCAAAGGAAGAATGGGCAGCCCAAAAGGATTATCCCCTTTTGGCGCGCGCGCGCCAGACCACGACCTACGGCGTCGGACCCAATGGGAAGGGCAAGAGCAGCTACGAAGCCAGCGCCAACATCAACACCGTCGGTCAACTGCCTACGACGCGGCAAGCCCGACCACTGAGCTAGGGACTGCACCGAGCCACCCAGCAAGAAGCGGGTCCACGCCGACGACAGTGCGATGGTCGATGAGGTCTACTGGGGCGACAAGTGTCATAGCAAGGTCAACCACAACGCAACTCCAGCAAGCGACGGAGTCATGGACTGGAGCGGCGACCCTCATGTCCGGCCCAGAGACGATCAAGGAATACGTGGGGGCTGCAGGCAGAAGGGCTGTCCCATTGAGGACCTCAGGTTCTACAAGTGTCGACGGCCTTCTCGGCTCGGCAGCGGGAAGATCGAATGTGCGCAGTGGTGTGGTTTGGCGCAATGCCTGCCAGCTTCAAGCAGAAGTCAAGCGCGCTCTGCGTTTACGCGGTGCCGGGGCGTGCGCCCGTCCTCTTTCCGAGGCCGTTGTTGGACGTGTTCTGAGTTCAGGTCGACTGCGTCGAGCAGACTTCTGCGTGGGGACGCGGCGAGTTCGAGGCCGCAGCGGAATCGCCTCAAGGGCGCTACAGGGTGGACCTACTATAGGAGCTGGGCGGGAAGACGAGTCGCCATGCGAACGACTTCGAGTACGAGCCCGTCGATGCTGCGCAGTTCCTGGACCCCAGCAGCGGGACCATGAGCGGTCTAGAGTTTCTGGGCAACGCCTGCCTGGCGGACTCCGGCGCAGGCGGTGAACAGCAGGAGCAACCACAACGGTGACCTCGTACAGAAGGTTGTTCCCGACGCGTAGTAGAGGCCAGTTGCTGCAAGGCCTATACGAAGCAGTGGCAGTGTCAGCGGCGTTCCTCATGTGGCAACTTGTGTTCACAACGACAGCCATCGAGCCAGCCGACGCCGCGCCATCTGATCCACGTTGGTGCCCACTGTCACCTGCGACGGGCGAAGTTCACTTTGGCCCCGACGACGACCCCGACGACGGCGTCAAGCAGATTTCGACCAACTTCGTTCAGAAGATCGACTTAGCCGTAAAACGCACCAGCGATCAGTGCTTACAGATCATGGGGAGAGTAGCCCACGAACGACGCCTTACGAGACGGACGATATGGGATGTCTACGCTGGAGAAGCCAGACTTACGCATGCATTTCGAGCTGGGAGCACGCGTGGAGACGTTCTGGCTCAATGCTGGCTGGGATGTCGCAAAGGAGGACCATCAGAAGGCATTCCTCAAGAAGCTGATGGAGGAGCAGCCTGGCGAGGGTCATCTGTCACCAGTGTGCGGACCCCGGTCCAACGCGCAGGAGCTCAACATCCATTGGCGCCCAGGTTGGACGGGGTACATCACCGAGCTACGAGGTTTGCATCATCGTTCGCATCTACAGTTCGTGGCCAAGGTGCATCGCATACAGCAGCAAGGAGGTCGACGTGCTCACTTCGAACATCCAGCTACGTCGAGGGCGTGGCGCACCGTGGCGTGTAGCCGCCTACGCGGCGAAAACATCATTTGTCCAATGCATGCACGGCCGTGCGATCGAGGGCAGCACGGACGACGAACATGGTCACGCAGCCGACCTCGATGAAAGCGACCAAGAAGCTCAGGCCAGTTGTACTCAACGAGCGATGCGACAGATCACGTGGACACGACCTACTGGAGGGACGAAAGTTCGCCAAACCCGCCGAGGACCAGCGACGATGGCGCAAGTCATGGTCGAGCCAGAGATCGAGGGCATCT